CCGTTCACATTAATAACTCGAAAAACTTGACAACCGAACCAAAACCATTCCTCTATTCACCATCTAAGCGAACTACAGGGCGGCCCACATATACATGAGACAAGCTAGTAAGACGTGCTGGAAGTCAATTTCAATGCAAATAGCTTGTTCATAAATTATTTTGTGGCGTTCCTTGGGGGAAGCTTATGATCAGCAGTAGGCTCCTGAAGACAAGGCAGAGTAGTAATGATCATGATATGATTCATTTATATGAAAGTTGTTACATTTTTAAATTTAATTAAATTTAGTTTGATCTCAAAAATTATAAATTTTAATGATTTCTTATATTTACGCGTACACTACACATTTAAATAAAACTCATTTTGCGGATTTCATCGCATATATTAACTTATTTTATATTCTCGACGTTTCAAGCACTTGGTTTCTCGGTTTCCATCCATTTAGCTACCGTGGGTAAATCTTTGTTTTAGAGAGCACGAGGTATTTGTGACAGTAAGCAACTGGCCACCGAGGTCCAACACGTCAAGCAAGTTTTGCACGACAATAAGCTTCGGGTCCGCGCCTACGTCACAATGAACGAGTGAAGCTGGCCACAGTCAAGCGAGTGCCTGCTGTACTGCCATATGTCAGAGGTGTCACTGACAAGATTGGCTACATCTCGAAGCGTGCTTCCATTAAAACATATTTCAAGCCACCGAAGAAGATTAGTCAGTTTTTACCATCAGTCAAGTGTAATGTCCCTCTACAAGATGCAGGAGTGTACAAGCTTGATTGTGAATGTGGTCTCTCTTATATACGACAAACTAAAAGATTCATAAAAACCCGCGTTAAAGAATACATAGCTGTTGTGAAGTATCGACGCTCCGGGAAGTCTGCTGTCTGTGAAAACGTACAGGATCGCCCCCGTCACTACATTAGATTTGATAGACCACAAATACTCGCTAGAGAACACCTACTCCTTCCAAGGATGATTCGCGAGGTTATTAAAATCAAAAAACATCCTAATTTCAATAGAGAAGATGGCTGAGTGCTACCATCTACTTGGGATCCCATAATTAATAAAATTAAATCCCAACCCAAGTATACAACTGCAAGACTTAGACGTAGATCGGAACAAAAGTTAATAATTTTAATCTGGAGATAGCTGTTGTTAATTATAACATTGGGACGTCATACATCTCAGTCCCCCCCCCCCCCCCCCCCCGTGACCTTGGGTGCTGTAAAGTGCTTGAAACATCGGGAATATAAAAAAATTAATTTACGCGATAAAATTCCTAAAATTAGTTTTTCCCTAGTCTCTACTCAAGTTATTTTACAAAATGCAACGTTAAGCTTCGATATTTTGAAAAATATTATACATTTTCTTAAAATAAATTGAAACCTTTTTGTAAGATGCGGAGAAACGAGGCAACAAGATCGGAAATTATTGTGATGTAAGTCTCGCTGTACAGAGAACTCCGTAATGGATACAGTTTCCTGACGATAAAATTTTATTTTGTTTACTTTGAACTTTTTAAAGTAAGGTGGCTTACATACGAATACCATGTGGCTTGGTCCTTCAAGTCTCGGCTCTGTAAGACATCTTCGTCCGCTATACCTCTAAACCTTGGAATGACGTATGCTTGGCGATAGTCGTATCGATGCTTGTTTATCCGAAGGTGGACATGCAACCGAAATGCGCTAAGCTATCACAGATTTAGAAGTTTGTGTTAGGCGACATTTGGAGAGACCTGAGGGCGCAGTGGCGCGGTGGCTTAGCAATGTTTGCTGCGCTGGGGTCCGCGAGTTCGAAACCCACACAGAACAAGTATTTGTATACAAAGCAACAAACAGACGGCCCCCAGTCCCCGGCAGCCCCGCTATTCCTGGCTACGGTGGCGACCATGGTAATGGCGGGGCAGGGGGTGCTAAGAATCTCTTGTGGAGGTTCGGTTGTCACCTTAGACGACTTGACCTGGCAACGTACAACGCACGCACCCTGAGGACTGACGAGAAGATCGTGGAGCTGGAGAGATAGCTTGAGATGATAGTGAGTAACGATCCAAGAGCGAGTCTCATCCGACACTATTCCGAAGATCCCGGACGTCAGTCTGAGCGAGATTAGAATGGCTCTCCAGCACCTTAAAAACGGCAAGGCCCCAGGCGAGGATGGAATTACAGCGGAGCTTCTGAAAGCGGGTGGAAAACCGGTACTTGAAGTCCTTCAGAAGCTCTATAATTCCGTCTTCCATGGTGGCATTACACCGGAGGCGTGGAGCAGAAGTGCGGTGGTCTTGTTCTTCAAGAAAGGTGACAACGCTCTCTTGAAGAACTACAGACCGATTTCCCTTCTGAGCCGCGTCTACGTGCTGTTCTCGTCTCGCGCGCAGATTTGACGACTTCCAGCCTCCCGAACAAGCCGGTTTCCGAAAGGACTTTAGCACCATAGACCACATACATACCCTTCGGCAAATTGTACAGAAGTCCGAAGAGTACAATTTGCCACTATGTCTGGCGTATGTGGACTATGAGAAAGCCTTTGATTCCGTCGAAATTTGGGCGGTGCTGCAGTCCCTTCAGCGGTGCCAAGTTGATTGTCGGTATATCGAAGTGCTGAAGTGTTTGTACAGTAGAGCTACGATGGCTACCTGAGTACAGAACCAGAGTACGAAACCTATCCAATTGCAGGGAGGTGTAAAACATGGTGATGTTATATCCCCGAAACTCTTCACCGCTGCATTGGAAACGTTTTCAAAGTTCTGGACTGGAAAGGATACGGTATTAACATCAATGGCGAGTACATCACTCAACTTCGATTTGCCGACGATATAGTCCTTAATGCAGAATCGCTGGAGGACCTAAGCACTATGCTCAATGACCTCAATAGTTTCTCCCAACGGATAAGTCTTAAGATGAATATGGACAAAACAAAGATTATGTTTAATGTCCATGTCACACCTATGCCGGTAGTTGTTGGGAGCACTAAGCTCGAAGTTGTTGACGAGTATGTTTACCTGGGACAAATAGTCCGACTAGGTAAGTCCAACTTCGACCGAGAGGTCAATCGACGGATTCAACTCGGCTGGGCAGCGTTCGTGAAGCTACGACACATCTTCTCGTCAGACATACCTCAAAACCTTCAAACGAAATTGTACAACCAGTGCATGTTGCCCGTGATTACTTACGGAACTGAGACGTGGTCCTTCACTGCTGGCCGTATGAGGAAGCTCAAGGTCGCTCAGCGAGCTATGGAGAGGGCTATGCTCGGAGTTTTTCTGCGTAATAAACTTAGAAATGAGTATATCCGCAGTAGAACCAGAGTAACTGACATAGCCCAACGGATTAGTAAGCTGAAGTGGCAGTGGGCCGGTCATATAGCTCGAAGAACCGACAACCGATGGGGAAGAAAGGTTCTCGAGTGGCAGCCTCGTACCGGTAGGCGAAGTGTAGGGTGACCCCCCACGAGATGGAGTGATGACTTGGTAAGACATGCAGGAAGTCGTTGGATGCAGTTGGCTCAGGACCGTGCTTTGTGGTATTCCTTGGGGGAGGCCTATGTTCAGCAGTAGACTTATGAAAGGCTGTAATGATGATGATAATGATGAACTTAAGCAAATATCTAATTCTTAGCACGTCCGCTCTCTCCGACCGTTCGAACCTAAGTGCCGCTGCAACCGCGACCAGTTTTTACCCCACCATCTCAGTGACGCAACCGTAAGCCACGCCCTCTTTTAGTCATCCAACTCCGCTAAAAGTTACAAATGAATTGAACACATTAGAATTTATCATCATATCTCGTAACAGCATACTCCTTACAAAGACAACGTTCATACTTCATGACATTACACTCATCTCATACAAAACGTTAACATTTTTAACCACGTTCATTCACATTGTTCTCTGGAGGGCCCTCATACACCATACATCAGTTGGCTATATTACGAAAGTAACTAGTATACCGTGACAGTACCTCCTTTGGGCAACTGTCCTGCCGTGGTAGAGAATCACTCGATACCATCGTGAACATGAAAAACTCCGAATGAGTAGTCTATCTGTCGTGACAGAGAAAACATCTCAATGTCAATGTAAGTATGGAAGAGATTCCTTCGGAACCTTCCATCTGCCGTGGTAGAGCATCACACTCGATACCAATGTGAACATGGAAAACTCTAAGTGAGTGGTCCATCTGCCGTGACAGAGAAAACATCTCAATGTCAACGTGGATATGTATAAGCACACTAACCCATACATACAACGAAACATAAGCAAATCATTTGCATGATAGTCAAACATAAGAACATCGGTGACTTACAATCAAAAAACGCAGCACAGGTCTCGGAAGTCCACTCTCCTGCCTACGCCACCATATTTTCAGCTGCAGCTTCTGTATGCTTCTCGTACGAGTCGAGAGTACGAGATGATGTGGAGGTCTTTTCAATACCTTGTAAGGTCCGCGCACACAGAAATCTAATTTCTCCACTGACTGCGAAGCCTTAATCACAAATACCTTGTCGTTTAACACAAACTCCAAAGGTGATCTACGGCCTTTATTCAGACGATCTTCTTGTTTTTGCTGGTTAGTAGACAGTAGTGACGACACACGGTGTCTTCGCAGTGGCATAAGCGCTTCACGGTTTGGGGTAGCAATATCTATTGCAACATCTCGGACAAGAGCACGTACAACTGGGGTGAAAGAATCGCTTCCGATAAGGAACTGAAGGGGAGACATATTGGTCGTACTGTGTTTTGTACTATTTAAAATAAGTTGGGTCTTCCACAATACATCAGACCAACTTTGACCTCTATGGTTAACTTCGATACGAAGAAGGTTTAGTAAAGTTCAGCAATAACGCTCGGCCTGTCCATTTTCATGGTGCATGTTTGGCGTAATGAAGTGAATGTCGCTGCCAAACGAACCGACCATATCTTGAAAAGCGGCACTCTCAAACATCCGTCCTCGATCCACGTCAAAAGTCTCGGAGACCCAAAGACCCGTCTTGACGACGGAGGGAGTATAGAAGTCAATATTTCGTAAATGCATCAATAATAAGCAATACGTGTTTATAATCTTGAGATTCAGGCAATAAACCAAGTGTGTCCATGTGTACTACGGAAAATGGTACGTCTGGCTTAGTCCAAGATTCGATGGGTTGATGAGGGGCACGTGGCATCCGTTTGTGTGACAGACTCACAATACAATGCTTGAGATATTTCCTAACAAAAGGCAGTAATCCAGGAAACCAGAAATAACGCAAAATAAGTTCTATCGTTTTATCGTACCCAATGTGGTCTTGGTCATCATGAAACACATGAAGCAGACTCAGTCTAAATCCCTTGGGAATATAGCACAATAGGCGGGATTCTTCGCCAATGGGAAAATATTTGACATATAATAGTCCATTTCGTAACTCGTATCGGGAAGAGTCTAGTTGACCGTTATTGAATTCATCAATGAGATTAAGTGTCTCCTCATCTGCAGATTGAGCTAACTTGGTCCAATTTTTGGGGTTTTGAATATGGCATACCTCCACAGGGTTCCTACTTAGGTAATCGGCATGGGACATTAAAGACCCCTTCCTGTATTCGAAAGTATACTGAAAGTCTCGCATGGATAACCACCACCTAGCTACATGGGGAAGCAAGTCCTTTTTACGCTCGGTTAGCTTTAGAGCGTTACAGTCCGTAACAATTTTAAAGGATACGCCTAACAAGTACTTTCTAAAATTCTGGAGAGCTTTAACTACAGCTAGAGTTTCCAATTCATAGGAATGATATTTGGGTTCCGCGCCTTGGGTTGATTTACTTAAATACGCTACTGCACGCCTAAGCCCACCCTCATGAATCTGTATTAAGACTGCACCGTAGCCGATAGCGCTTGTATCTGTGTGCACCTCCGTAGGTAACTGAGGGTCGTATATGGCAAGGACGGGTTTGTTTGTTAAACGGTCAATAATATACTGACGAGCTTTATCTTGTTCGACTCCCCACTCAAACGGCATGTTCTTTTTAGTTAAAAGTACGATACAAGCTGTTTGCTGGGCATAATTTGGAATATATCTTCTGAAATAGCACGCAAGGCCAAGGAACTGTTGAACTTGTTTAACACTTCGAAGTTTTGGGGAATCAACCAATGCCTGAAAGTTACGAATGCTCGGCCTAACCTGACCATTACTGATAACCCTCCCAAGATACTCTATTTCACTAATAAGAAAGGTACATTTCTTAAGATTTACAGAGAAACCAGAGGAAGTAAGGGTTTCTAAGACTCGTCGTAGTAGGGCTAATCCTTCGAGTATCGTATCGGATAGCAAAAGGACGTCATCTATGTACACAAGGACCTTTCCTGAATCGAAGAAAGACTTGAGAGTCTTTGAAATGATATTCTGATAAAAAACTGGAGCATTAGAAAGGACATAAGGCATCTTAACATATTTGAAGTGACCTTATGGGGTCACGAAAGCGGTTTTGGCAATTGATCCTGCTTCCATAGGTACCTGATGGAAGCCAGTCGCCATATCTAAACACGTGAAGAATCTACTTGACCTTAACCTATCAATGTGGTCCTCTATGAGTGGCAAGGGAAACTTATTTTTTACAGTGCGTGAGTTCAAAACCCTATAATCTACGCACATTCGATCCGTGCCGTCTTTCTTTTTAAACAAGATCACGGGGCTGGCTTATGGTGATTCGGATTCACGTATAATGCCTTTAGCCATTAGGTCTTTAACTATACTCCGAACACGAAGCTTCTCAACGTAAGATAATTTATATGGCCTATAACATACCGGTTCATTGTTGGAAACTTCTATTTTCATACTACCCGTCGTGACTGTTGATGAAGCCGTGCCAATTATAAAGAACTTTGAAAAAAGACTGATAACCAACAAAAGCTGTTCTTTCTCTTCACCTTTAAGAGGAGTGTTTACATTATTAATATCAAAAACATGGTTTACTGGTATAGGTTTGCCCGTACGCGTTAAAATTTGAACACCATTTTGTCGGATATATGTGATGCCTTCACGATTCAGAATATCGGTGCCTATAATGACCGGAGTACTGATACAATCGTGGGGTACCACATAAAAATCGGCTTCAATAGATATGTGAGGTAGCTCCACAATTAATGTCACAAACGAGGTACATTCGATAAGCTGACTGCCTATACCTCGTAAAATGCGGTATGTCGGTCTTTGGTTAACCTTAAAATGTTTCATCAAGGAACTCGATACGAGTGATATGCAGGAACCGCTGTCTACTAATAAATCAATCGGTACGCTTTCAATTACTGCGCTTGTAACATCGATTAATTGTTTAATTTACTACAAAAGTTTACATTGCGCGGGTTAAGTTTTGTCGACTCTGAACGTTGTTTGGCAAAACAGTCATTAATTTCATGACCACTCTTTTTGCAAAATAAACATGTTACAGAATGCGGTGACTGTGTGTTAGACGACGACGACCCCGAATTATTACCTAGTCGCATTCTTTTAGCACTCTTATAGTCTATACGCTTATGCCTAAACCTCCTACAAAAGTGACATCTTAATTCACTAACCCCCTTTTTATTTTCATTCCGTCGGGTAATGTTTGATTCAGAACTAGGAGGCGATCCACGAGTGATATCACGGGTAGACGAAAGATCATTTTTTGCATTAGTAGCTGCAGCTTTAATATGAGGATCTGTGATGCCCCTTAATACTATAGCGACAATCAGTTCGTCAGATAGTCCCCTAACCAAACCCAAACTTAACAACGAACGCCTAGCGTATTCGGCGTAAGTAGCATAACTTTTAGAATCTTTGGTCATCACTTCGTAAAGAATAGACGCAATATCGACGGTTCGTGGACACAGCATTTTAAATTCTAGTTTGAAATTCATCCACGAACGATCGGTGCTGGACCACTCGCTAAGCCACACACTTTCAAAAAATTACCGATTCGCGACAAACAATCGTAATCGTCCCATCCGTAAGTTTCTTTAGCTCTATCTACTTCCTCGCACCAAACGTCGATATTGTGAATTTGAGGGTCAAAGTTAGAAATATAATAATTATTAGTCCTTACTGTAACTAACGAAGTGATGGCCTCCACGAATCTGCCTGTTGTGTCTCCGCCTGTGGCAATGCTTTCCCGTGATACCGAGACGGGTCCGTGAACTGCCGTCGAGTCGTCATCGCGTACGTCGTCGGTGGTTGTACCAATCATTAGCGTGGGCAGTACCGGGTGCGGTGCCTGCCCCGAAGATGTTGACACGGCCTGTAAAAGTGGCTCGGATGGCGGTGGCGGCGAAGTAAAACGTTCCTCAAGCGTATTCAATCTAGCAAGGATAGCATTCAGCACAGCCTTGTTCGACTCATGCTTGCGTTTACGAGAGCGAGATTGTTATTCAGACATTTTAAGATTTATAAACTGAACAATAATCTTTAATATTAATGTTAGTCAGGTGTTCCAAAAGCGGGTAGGCGACGAAGCACTATCCCACTTCTGATATTATCGACCAGAGGTAAAATTCAAAACTAAAAAAAACACACTCAAAACAGAACTTGTATTATAAACTTCTTATTACATTTACAGTATCAATTATTAATTACCAACTTAAGCAAATATCGAATTCCTAGCACGTCCGCTCTCTCCGACCGTTCGAACCAAAGGGCCGCTGCAACTGCGACCGGCTTTTATCCCACCATCTCGGTGACGCAACCGTAAGCCACGCCTTCTTTTAGTCATCATCTTGTAACATTATTTAAATAAGCATTTTGATTATTAATCGATGATAGATGTAGATGTTTATGGGCCACAGCTTTTACTTACCATCAGGTAAACTGTGTGCTCGTTTGTCACCCATTTTCCATAAAAAAGCAGTCAGATTCCAATCTGGAGCCAATCGGGTGGATGATATTCAAGTCAGAAAATTCCGATGAACACCTACATTATCCCGTGGGTATCGTAACAGGCGACAGAAAGACAAAGAAACAGGAGATGGGCAGCATCATTTTCCTTACAACAACTCAAAATAATAATAAAAAATGTTGATGCCTACCCTGTCGCCTGCCAACCTTGGTAACTATGAGAAATATCCCTCCTATGAGGCAATCTTTGAAGAGGCCTATGATCAGCAGTATACATATAATAGGCTGCACTGAATAGACGATGAATAAATCCATTATTAAATTTACTTTTGATACCACTTTTATACCTTACGTAATTTTAAAAGGATAAGTTAGAAGCCGGCCTGTGATAATAGGCATCCATTATCTTCACATATTAAGACTGCATTAAGTTTTATTGCCAAGTAGTCGTCTGCACACAAATCGGACCACGGTATCAGACTGTAATTTCGCAATATCATTTTATCGTTAGTGAAAGAATAAACTTGAATTTTGCTATCAAAATGGCTTATAGTTTAAACTTTTAAAACTTTCATAATATATTCAATTCTACGAAATCTCATAGTAAATAAATAGTACCGGCATTGTAAACCGAACATAAATGACACTTGTTCCGTCTGTTGATATCAGTATTGCTAGAGTTACCAAATATTATTAAACAAAATCGCTTATCGATGTCTCTCTATATTATCATCATCATCATTTCAGACTTTCACAAGTCCACGGCTGAACATAGGCCTCCCCCAAACAATGAAGTCTGTTTGATTACTTAAAACTAATCTTTCAATAAAAAGTATAATCCGATTTCAAAGAGCTAATAAAAGAAAGGAAGGAAGAAAGAAGAGAGAAAAAAGTAAAATTTCAAAGAACTAACTGAACACAGTGCCAAGACATAGTGTGAAAAGAGTTACATACGTGGTAGAACCATGCTGCAGCTATATTAATAGTATAATTGTAGCACGAATGGGCCGGCTCGACCGGGGAAGGTACCACGCTCTCACAGATTACCAGCGTAAAATAGCAGCTTAATGCTAGCCGGAGGCCCTTTTTACTGAAAAAGAGGCATTCCATCTTAGTCCTCACGGCTGACAACGCATCTCCATTTTAATTCGCAAACGAAGATAGATGTAGATGTGTATGGATCACAGCAACCACTTACCATCAGGTGGACTGTGTGTTCGTTTGTCACCCTTATTCTACAAAAAAAAGCCACAATCTTAGAATTTGTAATTAATTTATTCCTTTTATTTCTTAGAACCAGTTCTTAGAAACTACTTTTTATTAAAAATATAATTGTTTTGATACTTTTGAGTGCATTATATCACAAGGTAACAATACGAATACTTCTTAATATTGAAATATTGGATAACACTAATTTAGGAATTTTATCGCATATAACTACACTTATTTTTGTCATTTTTAATTATAGACATTTTTTTTTTGCTTTACAGTGTTGTTAGAATCCGTATGTCATAGTTAAATTTACTTTTAAATTTTAATATTATAAATTAAATTAATTCCAAACCCAAGCTTACCAGTGCAAGACTTCTAAGATATTGTGATATCTTTCTGCGTAGATAAGACCAAAAACCTGAAAGAAACGCGAGCTAACTGCGACATCGGGAAATTTCTAGTATTCGTGTACATAATATAAGAAAACAATATCGCCCAAATAGTCAACTTAAAAACTTTATAGTATGAAAAATAAATTCAAACTAGGATATTATCCTATTTTTCCACCCTTAGAATAAGAATTTTTTTTCTACAAATTGCTATAAACTATATAAGTATAAGCTATAATATACTTAATAAAAAAAAACAATTAATGAAAATAAGTTAACAATTGACAAAGATATCGTGTAAAAATACAGACGAATTGATTTCTTTCAGTCCTTTTGCGGCGGATTAGAGATGGCAGTAACACATCTTGAACCAACGCTGCTGCCTTTAACCGGTGTGTATATTATACGCCTGACTACGTTGTTGGTCTAGTGGTTGTAGTAGTGCGACTGCTGATCATGAGGTTCCGGGTTCGAATCCCGGGTCGGGCCAAAAAAAAATCCAGTTTTTCCATGAAGAAATTCTCAGTCAGGAAGTTGGCGGTATCTCACGCCCGTGCCTCGGAAAGTACGTAAAGCCGTTGGTCCTGCGCCTCATCTCTCTCCGGTCGTAAACAGTTGTAATACCGCCATATTTCGGTTGCCGTGAGATCTGTCCGGCATTTCCCACATTTAGCCCTTGCGACACCCATGCGGCGAAATGTGGTGATGGGTTTACACACGCCACCCCACCACAATTGCTTAGTGTCAAATATATAATGGATGCGAGAAGTGTAGTGTATTTCTTACCTACCTGCTGTATATATGCCTCCCCTTGTTATAGTTGGCATGCTTGGCAGGGGGGTTGACAACCCCAGTTTTCTAGTTGTAATTTAAAAGACGCTGCTGCCAATATCCTGGTTTATTTCCCTTTGTCGCAATATGGGGTAGTAGATATTAATACACAGACGCTACACGGTGTATTTCTTAGTTAGG